GAACCAGCAGCAAAAGAAGATCCAAACTACGCTTCACATAAACATCGTCATGAATTTCCTCTGACTTTTACTGTTTTGCTTCCACCACAATAAAATTACACTTCGTGCACAGCTCTCTCTCTCTCTCTCTTTCTCCTTCTCTGTACTTCAAGAACAGTTCCCCGTCTAAAAATCTGTTTTCTGCATTATTCGCTTGCTTGTTACGCACAAGTCTACCTTTGTTTACAGGCTGTCGGCCGCTGTTTTTTTTTTCGTTTTATATACTTCCGAAAAGAAAACCTCATTTCTGCTGTTCAATACTGAACAAATTTAAACTTTCTAAAATTATTCAAAATGCAAAATGCTTAGCCGTGTCTCTAATAAAACCGCTGTAACGTCAGAGGTGATGTTCATATGTTGATTAATGGTTTTCTTTCGTTTTTGATGTACTGCAGAATATTTTTATAAAATCCAGGCCAGGAAAATCACCTTCATGTTTTTCTGTGTTTTATCTTCAGCTACTTTGACACAAAGGCATCTGCTGTGACGCTCACACCTTTGATAAAGTCTTGCGAGTGTCAGCTTCCTTTTGATTGATACAAAAATATGTAAATGTACTGATCTGAATTATAATATTTCTGACTGTCTAAGGCAAAATTTCCCAGATACAAATCGAATTGAATCAAATCGTGGATCGAATCGATTCGGGACCTTGTGAATCGGAATTGAATCGATTCTAGAAATCAGTGACGATACCCAGCCCTACTGTTTAGTAAAGTCATGTTGTGGAGCTGTTTCACTGATCAATGACTGAGTCTGAAGGAGGTTTTCTGACTTCTGGAACAAACCTGGAAGTTTCTCTTCAGCTCTCTGTATCAGCTGTTTGTAACTCTCAACTCTTTCAGCTTCTGGAACTTTTACTACAAAAACAGTTCAACATACCCAGAATATCTTTCTGTTACCTGGATACCATTACTTCAACATGGCAATAGAGATAGAAGGTAACATGAATCATTTAAGTAAAGTAAACCCAGGGCTTCCCCTCCACGTTCACATGAAAGGGGCGGGGTTTATACATCTTCTAAGTCCTCAAATTGTTACATAGACATAACAGTGACAATGCAATGCAGAGCTTACACATCATTCAGTGGTTTTAGTGAAGTACAGCTTACAAACTTTGCCCCAGCAAAGAATCTATATCACACTGAAAGCTGTAGAAAAAAACAACAATAAATAAATAAAAAAGAAATCACTTTTTGTTTCCAGCTGATTTTACAATGAAGGTTACAACATCACCTGCTCCTGACAGTTTAAGTCTTCACTCAGCTGCAGACTCACTGCTGTTTATGTGTAAAGAGTAAAGATTAAATATGAAAACTGATTTCAAACCTGGTCATCCGTTGAGGAGCCATGAAATGACACCTGCTAACCATCGGCATTATGGGTAGTGTAGTAGGAGACACTCACCTGACATGAAATAGTGCCGGAAATGAAATAAAAGACCTCCAGAAACC